CCCCAAAACCCCAAAACCCCAAAACCCCAAAACCCCAAAACCCCTTTAAGGAACCAAAATATTGAGATTATAATTAATAGCAAATAAAAATGCCAACTTGTGGAAATTACAAATTAAGGAAGAAGCTTGGTGAAGGTGGATTCGGAGCGTAAGTCATTTTATACATTCCAAAAGAAATTTATTCATTATTCCTTCCTTTTGTGTTTGGTTAGGAATTATTAGATTAGTTATATTGTCAAATTCAATCTTTTAAGTCTTTAGAATTTCATGGTTCGCTTAAGATTCTTTTATGGATATTTTTAAGATTAGAGCATGGAAGGTTTCTATGCTTACAATGAAGGCATGCAATCATTCAGATCCTTTCGCTTGTAGATTTATTTTATACATGATGATATATTGTACAAATGGGATAAACTGATAGTTTATTTTAGAGTATATCTTGCAAAGCATATCGATACAAAGAAGAAAGTGGCTCTCAAGATTATCAAGCCAGAGATGATGGAGCATGTCAACATGGATGACATTGAGAAGGAGGTAGAGATTTTGAAGCAAATCGATCATCCTTACATCACAAAGTTAGTCGAAGCTGGCCACTGCGAACTTTCGTCAAGAGGTAGAACAAATGAGGTATACTGTATTGCACTAGAAGTTGCATCTGGTGGTGAACTCTTCGATTTTATTTCGATGACTGGAGCTTTTTCTGAAGATGTTGCTAGGTACTTTTTCCATCAGTTCCTTGATGCTCTTGAGTATATGCATGAAAAAGGAATCAGCCATAGAGACTTAAAAACTGAAAACATTCTCCTAGACAAAGATTTTAATTTAAAAATTGCTGATTTTGGATATGCTTCTGAGAAGGGTTCTAACCAGACCCAAGTTGGAACTCCAGATTACATGGCTCCTGAGATCCTTCAGGGAGAAAAGTATAGTGGGCAAATTGCTGATATTTTTGGTGCTGGATTGATTCTCTTCATGATGCATGCTCAAAGTAAAGCATTTTTGAAGGCTGAACAGTCTGATCCCTACTATAAAAATATTGCTTCAAATAGGCCAGATAAATTCTGGAAGGAGCATATAAAAAGTAAAGGAGACGAGACCTACTTTTCTGAAGAATTTAAGGACCTAGTCACTGGCCTTTTTGCTTATAATCCATTCCATAGATTGACTATTGCTGAGGTCAGAAGTCATCCATGGTTTAATGGAACGGTGCCAACTTCAGAAGATATTGCTGATGAATTCAATAGGAGAAAGGAAAACCTTGATGAAGAGTTGAGAAGACAAAGAGATGAAGACCCGACTCAAGCTGAGTTTGATACTTCCTTGCTTGAGGGGAACTCAGTCCATAGAGGAATTGGCGATAGTGATGAAGAGTCTAAGGAAGTTTGTGAAAGAGAAGAACAAGAATATGATGAAGATTTTGAGAATTATCATAAATTCTTCTCCACTTCATCAGTTGAAGATCTATGGACAAACCTTTGTGCCTATGTTACTGGAATAACAGGGGAATATAAATTCTCTGCTGATGAATACAGCATCTCAGCTAAGGTAGTCAAAGAAGAAGAGGAAAAAGAAGAAAAAAAAGAGTCAGTAAAAGAAGAACCTATCGAGTTCTTGGTGAATATTCTCAAAGTCCCAGAGCAAGAAAAACACTGCATTGATGCCACAGTAATCAAAGGAAACAAATTCAATTTTACAGATCAATTCAGAGACCTCAAGAAGTTCTTTGGAGGTCATGCAAATGCTACACTGGCAGATTAGTCTAAATTTCTTCTCTCAGCAATAAAAATTTGCTTCAAATTTTACAGTTACATCTATTTTCCAAATGCTTCTAGTTTATGGAAGTAATCTTAGGTTACACTCATTTAATCGAACAAAATGTTTTGAATATTATCCAATTAATTGTACATCCCGAGGGGTTTTGGGGTTTTGGGGTTTTGGGGTTTTGGGG